GACATTTTCCAATTTAAAATGAGACACCATTTCAATTAAATACACACAGCTAATAATTTGACAGAAGATACATCTTTGCCATTGTATGAACTTATCCAAGAAGCTTAAACAGGTCCCTGAAGGTTTCCAAGACACTAGACACAAAACATCTTCTTTACCACATATTAACTTTCGCTTCCTAATTTAGCACAACGTCAGCAGCATATACAAAGAGAAAACACATCTCACAGCTGTCTGGCTTAAGATTCCCTTTTTATAAAAAACAAAGTTCCTTTTTCCCAAGTAAGTCAAAGCAGAAACATCAAGTTTAAAGTTTTGCCACAATACTGGCAGATTTAGATTTAGAAATATGTCAATTCAACTAACAGCCCTGTTACTGATGGCAAATAAAACAGGCATTTCTCAAAAGTTCAAAAAGGTGTCAATTTTTGTTATTTCTGTTTTTTGAAATAAAGCATATATCTAATTTTTATTTTTTTTATATATATATATAGTGTCAAAACCTACTTATGCTCTTTTCTCTTCATTGAGGCTACAGCAATAAACTGGGCACCAGGTGTTTTTTACACATCTCCACTGGTAGCTTGATTATGAGTCTTTAAGGTTGGAGAGCCTCTTTCCCATCACCCTAATCTGTCACTCTTTCCACATATTCTCCATCAGATTTCCAGTGTAGACAAAACTTATTCACAGTGATTCACTTTTTCCACATTTTCCACTCAGATGAAACGTGTTGGGAAAACTGAGAAATTATTTATAACCGCATTTGCCAGGGTATGAATAATTTGGGGCTGATCATAGTTAAACAGCAGAGCTAAATTGAAGGTAATCTTTTCATTTGACAAGTATGTTTCTTTTAAGTGGGAGAAATATTCACAATATTTCAGTAGCGTGGTCCAGCCAGAGTCCTGGTTACAGGAGAAACCGTCCAACTGAAAAGACTCTATACTGATTGATGACCAAATATATAAGTGGAAAATGCAAAAAATGTAAATGTAATAAAAGTTTATTGCAAATAAGGGATTTTTCGGTGATTATACAGATAGATGTAAATGTAAATGTTTGTATTTGCTCATGTTTTCTCCAGATGCTCCTCGGACCACCGTTCTGTTAGTGACGCCCTCAGAAACTGTTGAAGGCTCTTCAGTGACTCTGACCTGCAGCAGTGATGCTAATCCAGCAGCTAAATACAACATTTACAGGGTGAATGAAGGTCAACATGGTCAACTTCTCAGAACAGAAATACAATCAGTCTTCAGCTCCATCCAGGTCTCTGATACTGGGAGGTATTACTGTACAGCTGGAAATGACCTGGGAAGCCAAACGTCTCCAAGTATCGATATTAATGTGAAATGTGAGTAAAATACAATATAGTCAATGTCAAATTTATTTATATAGAACTTTAAAAACAGGTTTAAAACTGCACCAAAGTGCTGCTCAAAAACAATAATAAAATAAGTTGATAAAAAGAAAAAGAGAAGTAATACAAGAAAATCACACTGTGGATGTAATCTAATTGAACGGTGACCTTCTGACCAGGGAAAACTCTGCGGGTGTAATTCTCCCAGCCAGAACAATCATCAGAAAGTCATGACAGGAAGTTGACAATGTTTTCAAAAGTCATGGCTTGAGGTAAAACAAAGAATAAAGTTTTAAGTTGGAGCACTGAATAGATTTTCCTATTTCTGATCTTTACAGTTTTCTAACAGAAAATTGAGAGTCTGTTTTACCGAGATTCACAGTCTGCTGTTTGTAGATTAGACAGTTAAGCTGTTGACGTTGAATGTAAGCAGTAGCACATTAAAGGATGCCTTCCTCTTATTAACTTTATATTTGGTCATTTTTATAAAATAACACTCAAACAAACACAACTCCTACTTTTTCTTGCAGATGCTCCCAGATCTCCTTCAGTGTCACTGAGTCCTTCTGGTGACATCATGAAGGGCAGCTCAGTGACTCTGACATGTAGCAGTGATGCTAACCCAGCAGCTAACTACAGCTGGAGGAAGAACAACAACCATTCAGTTGTCAGTAAAGACCAACAGTTTGTCCTCAGCTCCATCCTGTCCTCAGACTCTGGACAGTATTACTGCACAGCTCAGAACGAGCTGGGAGAGAAAACGTCTGGACCCGTCTCTGTGCAGGTCACATGTGAGTCAAACTTTTTTTTTTTTTTTAATATAGCTGCACATTGTAACTTTTATAAAATCATGCATGTTTTTTTTTTTACATATTTGTTAAAGCTGTCACTACTTTCTGAAAGTATGAATCAGATATTCTGTGGAACTTATTTTAATTGTCCATCTGCAGACATACACCACTCCCAGTTAGAAACAACCAATCAGAGCCAGGAGGGTTCAGCACTGTCAGTCCTGCCTGTGAACTCGCTGCTCACACCCTTCTCTCTTTGCTCCCTGCTGCCCTACAGCTCCTCCACCACAGCAGAGCCTGTTGCTAGGAAGCATAGCCGCAGATGATGCTGGATTAACAGCTTTCCCATAACGTTACATTGTCTCTCCTTAAGTAGCACAACTGCAGCAAACCGGCAATATTGAGCTTGAACGACGGCTCACGCTATGTGATGTGAGCAGCGCATACACAGGCCTAAAGTCTACATAATCTATGTCTTCTCTTAGAGGTGAAACCACAGAGTGACACTTAAAGTAAAGTCATCCAATAAACAAATAAAAGAGAAACATAATCTTTCTCTAATATCAATAGATATTGATTAGAAATTAACTAATTTATCACATTTTATAGCAAGAATTAAAACTGCTGGACTGGGTTGCAAGAAGCTAAATAAACAAAGCAGCGTCTTCAGTTTTAATTCACATTAAAACTTGTTTTTGTACAATATGAAGAAATGGACGATGAACTTTGTTAATGAAATCATGAAGACTCGTCTTCCAGTCAGGCTCATTTGTTAGATCAATATCAGATTTATATTGTTTGTTCTAATATTTTAGGTCAATCAATGTCATCGATCACCAGTAGGTTGGCTCTGTTGATCCTGATCTCTATGCTTGTCCAGATTACTACTTTAAGGTAAAATTGTAAAAAAAAAAAAATATATATATATATATATATATATATATATATATATATATATATATATATCAGTTGGATCAATGTTTATGTTCATCTTGATTTTCTGCATTTTGAAACTTTTTGTTGTTTGTATTTTTTTTTATCCAGAACCATGAAAGCTATGAAAAAACCCACAAAACTATCTGACCCTGAAGAAATGATGGAGATGAGAAATGTTATTGAGATCACATAGTGAGTATGGATTGATCAGTCATTGATGAGTCATTGATCAGTCACTGATCTGTAATGAACCAATCTGNTTTTGGTGCATTGTTGTCATTCAATTACTGTACAAAAAAAAAAAAAAAGACTCGGACAGAGAAGCTAGAAATATCCACTGCTGGATTTCACCAAAATTAAGGTAAAAACATTTATTTGCAAAAATATAACCATCAAAAAATAACAAAGAAAGAGAGAATGCTGTTTGTACATATTGAGTCTCTGAGTTATAAAGACTTCAAATAGTGAGAACAATTGTAAGCTGTTATGAAATGTTAAAGAATCAAGCCAATACCAGCTTGTGCTGCTTATAGAAGCTGAAAGGTCAGAGGTCAGCCCTCTGTCATTCAGACTCCTTGGATGCAGCTGCTTCAGTTCACATCCAGCAGAGGCCACAGAGAGGATTCACCTGGCACCAGTCAAGGTCAACCATGGAGGAGTCATGAACCCAGTTGACCACGACTCGTAACCAAGGAGACGGTTGGAGTGAAACCAGAAGGAGCAGAGAGGAAGTCCATATAAGGTTGTAACAGAGGGAGCATCAAAACCTCCTCCTTCCTGCAGAGACTGAACTCTTCTATGTTATTTTAATATATTCATATGTAATCCCTCATTATGTGTTGATCATGTTTATCTCTAAGTATAAAAGCTTAGAACGTTGATAAAAATATGGTTTTGTTGGTGTTGCTGGAATAAGAGTTTGTTGAAAGTGTTGCTGTTTTTTATCTGCTTTTTGCTTTTAATAAATCTTCATTTTTCTTTTCATAATCAAACTCGTATATCTGGGAGTTTTTGTTTGGTAAATGTCCTTAAATGTATAATAAAAGTTTTTGATTCCTGACTTACAATCTCTGCACACAATGCAGCAAATCACTTTTTTCTCTAGAAGCCTCTTATAGCCTTCAAATTCAACATTAGGCACCAGAAATAAGTATAACAGCCCTGCATATAACTCACCATTCACATGCCTGCTGACGAGGCAGTGTGTCTGTAGACCAGCAGGGCGGAGCAACTGAGCTGCCCAACTTTCTCCAGGTGATGTTTTAACACAAAAAGTTGAAGTAAAAGGAAATCTGCTATGAATGAAATGCCAGCTGAATATGAACGACAGCAAACTGACTCTGGACCGGATCCGATCTGAATGTACGTTCACTTCATAACAGATCCATGAAACGGACCCGGATCGGGGTCCAGCTGCACAGCAGCTCAGTGACACCCGCATAAAACATCCAAGAAGCAGAAACCTGAGTTCACCCTGACAGAGTTCACGCCCCGTTCACCTCTCTCTCCAATCCGCTCCAATCTCATCCCATAGTTTCTCTGAAGCATTTCACTGGAATTGATCAACTTTTATTGATCGTCCTGTTCTGTTTCTCTTC